TTTTGTTGTTGAAATTCACTGCATTTTATTTTAAAAATTCTTAAATGCCTTTACAAACATCACTTTGTACATTATTGTTCCAAAAAGTTCAAAAGCTCTAAATTTAAGATGAGTATTATAAGAGATTGGGAACATAGCTTAGAGGGAGAGCACTTGCCTATCCTCTGAGGATTCTGGGTTCAATCCCCAGTACCACAAAACCAGAACAGGGAAACCTTGACAATTTAAGGACACTCTGTTTCAAAATAAGAGTAATAGTTAAAAAGGGCTGAGGATGTAGCTCAGTGGCACAGCAAGCACAAGCACAAGGACTTAGGTTCAATTCCCATATAGAAAAAAAAAGAAAGAAAGAAAGAAAGAAAGAAAGAAAGAAAGAAAGAAAGAAAAAAAGAGAGAGAAGCAGACAGATGTTGAACAGCTATAAACACCCTACCCTGCTATTAAAGTGACTGTGCCAAAGTAGAAAGATGAGGAAAGAGAAAAGAGCTCTCTGCCCACGGCTTCAGCTGACCAGCAATGCCACACTCATGCCACGAAAGGCAACTTGTACGGGAGCGCCACTCCTGACTTCTGGGGTCATTGTTCTTCCAGGAGTTTGCTGCCTCCCTCCCCTCATTCCCATGGCCTCGAATCCCCTGCTACCCTCTCCTCTCCTGCCTTTTGTGAGAAGGAATCCCAGCCTCAGTTCTCAAAGGAAGAGAGGTAAAAGAGGAGGCAGATCTCCAGCCCTCCTAACTTCCATTCCCTGGAAGAACCATGACAGCTTTTTGGTGGGCGGTTTCTTTTCTCTCCACCAGGACAGTGCTGTGTTACTTCACACAGAAGAATCTGCCTCAGCTGAACAGGAGCGGCTCCAGGGGCAGCAGCGAGGCCTGATCTGTAGCCTTTCTACTCACTGGAAAACAGAACCAGGGCCCAGCACACTGTGAGGGCCCAGGACCCTGTGCTGCCCGCTGCTACTCTATCCCAGGATGTCCTGCAGAGCCTGCACCCTCCAGGCGCAGCTTGTTCTGGGAGTCACGCACTTTCCCAGGCAAAACCTGGTGTTGTCTGGAAGACTTAAAGACAAGGCCAGACCTTGACTGCTCCTTCTGCCTGGAAGGGACACTGGCTTCCAGGCTCTTGGTAGTCTTTTCTGCATCTCACTGTGTACATAAACATCTGACAAATTGCTGTGGAAATAAGCATGCAGCAGCCTAAGCAACAAATGAGTGAGTTCAATCCAAGACTTGCCTTGGGCAAATGCAAGATCAAGTAAAGGTATTTTAATACATTCATTTGTCAGCTCACAGCACAGCTACTTTAAAATAAAATCTCAATGAAATCACTATGTAGCTTGTGGCACTCTGAGGGGCACACCGGGCCTAATTAGGTACAAAGCAACCAATTAGAACAGGAAGACTTACAGCCTTTTAAGACACCACTTGGCCCGTGGCAACTCATATCATTTCCATGAGAGGACCTGTTAGATTCCCTGCAACTTTTTTTTGGGGGGGAGGGGCAAGATTTTGAATAATGTAAATTTGTACAACTAACACCCTTGTGCTTTAACTGGGAAACTTGTTCTTCTCTGAGGAAGACATGATAGCTTTTCTCTTGGCTTGAAGACCCGGGAAGCAGGACGGAGACCCAGCTTCAGGCACCCTTGGTGGTGACAGTTGGGTGGTGGAGGAGCATGGCCCGGAGGCCCCGTGGAACCTGCTGCAGGTGGGCCCGGCGCAGCAGGGTGAACTCCACTTCCTCCTAACCTTCGACCAGGGTTGCAATTAAACAGCCTGCTCCCCCATCCTTCCTGTGACCCAGAACTAGCAGGTGTTTAGGAGCCCTGGGCCCTGAAGCGGTAAGCGTTCTTCCACTTGTAACGTCCTTTTCCCCATTTCTTTTCTACAGTTCTGTGCCTGTAATGCTAAGTTACAGCAGCAGCTGCCCCATTACCTAGAGCACAAAAGCAGTCCGTGAAGCCCGGGTCCTGGGGCTCCGCTCCTGAGTCCGAGGGGGGAGCACCGCGGCTACCTGGCTGGGCGCGGTTACACCGCTCGACTCTGGGGTCTTGGGGAACCTGCTCCTGTTCAGCTGGACAGGAAACGTGCTGCTTCTTAAACGGGCTGCTTTTAATACAGGCGACTCACCTCTCTGACCCGCTTTTGGCGCTCGCCGAGCTCTCTAATTCAAAGCGCTGGGCCGCCAAAGGGAAGACGAAGAGGGACTCTGCTTCCCTCAGACGAAATCTGAGCTGAAAACTGCCTAGGTAGGGACCGCTGTCCGCAACATCCCCAACTCTCCGAGAGAGAACTCCTCACCGGTATCCCCAACCCACGTTCAGAGGGGTCCTCCCTCTTCCCTCCGGCTCGCACACCCGCCCGGGGCTGCCGGGCTGGAAGACCCTGCGAAGTCGGTGTAGGTGAGGACTCGCAGAGGTGACGGTCCCGAGGCGGTGACGCGCAGAGCGCGCTGCTTTTCGGTGTACACGGTTTCTAGGCCCGCGCGTCCCGGCCGCGGATGCCCCGTGAGGGACACGCAGGCCCGGGGCGCGCCTCCCTTTCAGGTTGCTCTGAGCCACGGCGTGGTCACGGGGCAACGGGGCTGGCGGTTCCCAGTGTCCCAACCCAGCAGGTCCTCGGGCTCGTCCGTCCTCTTCCGGAGAAACGGCCCAGGAAGCAGGGAGGCGCTGGTTCTGCCTAGGGAATTCCCTGTACACCGAAAAGCGCGGCTTCGCGGAGAAGCGAGAGTGGGGACCAGGGCGCCCCGGTCCCCGGAGCCGCTCCGACCCCACCCACGCTAGGCGCCGCGCAGCCCCCACCCGCCCCTTCCCCGCTGTAGCGTTCGGTGTCTGAGCAGAGCGGGACCGTGGCGCCCATGCGGGAGCTGGTTTTCAGACCCGATGAGCCTCGGTTCTTTTCCTCCGCTCCCTCCCCAGCTATCTCCCGCCCTCTGGCCATCTTTGGCCTCCTCTCCCTCGCGTGGTTGTTGCGCAGAAACCGTGCAAACTGTGACAACCGTGAAGGCGACCGCCGCCTGGCCGGGCCGCTTCCACCCCCGCCCGCGGGCCTAGACCTCCCGCCTCGCCCAGATCGTCCCCGCGCCGTGACCACGTCCACCGCCCCCTGGGGGACAAGAGCCTCGGCTGGGCGGGGCTGGCAGACGCGCTCGGGGCGCGGAGCAAGGAGCTGGAAGAGGCCGGCGGGGGGGGGGGGGACAACCGCAGCGCGAGGTTCCACTGGGCAGGCCGGACCACGCCCCTTGAGCTAGGTCCCCACTTTGTCCACTCTGCGCGTCCCGGCCTGGTGCTGGCATAGGGCCAGTGAGGTGGCCATGGCTCAGCCCTCGACTCGGTAGCCGCACTTGAGGGCGCGCGACAGCCCCAGAGACGGGTGCGGGTGCGTGTCATGGTGTTTATTCCTGCTGTTCTCTGGGCTCAGCACTTGGTGACAATAAGTGGACGCGGGACAAAAGGAGGTGGACTCAGCTGGGGTCTGCACTGGGTGCGGATCTGAGCACTGTCTGAGCGCCTGTGGGTCTAGGTGTGGAGGTCCTCGTGTGTCCTCCGCCTCTAGCGCGGGGAGGCGCTCACCCATGTCACCCACCACGGTGTCCGAGCTGGTGGCTTCCCAGCCACGCGGTGCAGTCCCAGACGCAGCCTTTCCAGGCCGGCTGGGATCCCAGGCTCATGGACAACCTCGGTACCTCGTACAGGCCGGGGTGTAAGGAAGGGGCTCATCTTTGTTTTCAATTTCCGATTCCATTCGCCGTTAACGTTGCTGATGGTTCATAAAACATAGTTTGTGATCGTTATGCGGGCAGGGAGCGATCCCAATAAATGTCACGCGATAGAAGACCAAAAAAGCGTCCCGCGATTGTGTGCACGGCAGTATTGCTCCCGGGTTTAGCTATGGATGCACTAAAATAACCTGTTAACACACACCAAAGTGCATCCCCATAATAACCTCCTCAATCATTTATTAAAAGTCGTGTCAGGCAGCCCGTATAATTCATCTCTATGCAAATACATCAATGTCAGGCCATTAGTGTATTGCTCAGGTTTTTATTAAAGTGCATTCTTTTTAATTCAGCCCCGTAAAATACGAGCCCCATTGCTCAAGAATTATAGCAACTATTAGAGTAGCATATGGGCAACATGCACTCAGAAAATAAAAACCAACAGATAAAGTGGCAGGGTCACATCGCAGGAGTAGACACTTAACAAAATGGCAGTGGGGGTAATAGATTTTTTTCTCCAGGGCCTTTGGCGAGAAGGTGTCAGGGCATTAGCACCCCAAAGACTGTGCTGTCAGCCCCGACCCAGAGCCGCGCCCAAAGGCGCTTAGAAGCTGTCCAGGTGCCCGGGTAACTGCACCCCACCGCCCGGGATTTCACCTGTCACCCACACCAAAGAGGGTTCTTCTGGTCCTAAAGCGAAATAGTAGAAGGGATTTTAAGGTGGGGCCGGCTCACCTCTCCCCTCCACCTTCCCTCCCCGTCCTGTCTTGCAACCTGTTTCTCCAGGCCCTGCTCAGACCCACCCGGCACTTTCTGGCCTCGCCCTCTTTGCCTTGCCCCTGGGTTGGGGTCGAGGAGAGAACGAGGCTCAGGAAGGCCGGGGCTGGAAGCAGATTTTCCTTCCTTGCATAGGAGCCGGGGCAAACTTTCCGATGGAATCAAGCTGTAGCTGAAGACTAAGGATATCTTTCGTCTCCCCACCCAGGGAACGCGTGGGCGCCTCTCTCTGGCTCCTCTTTGCGCGCGCGACTGCTTTAGTTTCCCTTGGCTAGAACGCAGCGCTACAGTCTTGAAAAACCAGAGAAAGCTTTAGTTTGTATGGTGGGTACTGAGTAGGGGCCAGGACTGGTGGCTCAGTCCTTCCAGCACACGCCCCTGGCTCCAGGTAGGATTGGAGAAGGGAGAGTGGAAGGGAGAGGGAATGGGTGGGAGAGGGGGTGGGTGGAGAGAGGATGAGGGGGGAGGATGATGAGGGACGGCGAGGGGGGTGGAGGGGCAGAGCCCTAGAAGTCAGCAGTATCAAATTCAGCTTTTTCTTTTTGGTTGCCATTATGACAATCAATATCCAGAGCCCTAAAAGTAAACCTGAAATTCAAAACACAACAGAGCCTACACAGAAGCATAGAGGGAAAAGTGGAAAAACTCCGAAGAACAATTTTCCAGATTTAATGAGAGAGTGGCCCACACCCTCATCACCCCAGCATGGTAATTGAGCAGATCTATTAACTTGTTACACTAGATTTGTTTAAAGAGACTATTACACAGTCATTTAATCAATTTGTTACACTGGAGGTCCTGACTTATGAGACACTTGCCTTATGATTCCTTAATGACTGAATTAATTTGTTTTAATAAAACCAACATTGTCTACAAGTACATTTCTAGAAATGTAATTTTGGGGACAGAGCAGAGCAATGCTTGCTCTGATTAGGTCCTTTCTATGGTTTATCAAAGTCTGTAGTTTTTGACATAGCTGCTTGTATGGAGTATTTTTCTTTTTTATAGCGCCATTAATTTAATATGGATCATTAGTTCTTTATACACATGCATGTTCTGACAAATGTACCCAATGAATAATGCAGCTAATGTGCTTAGCCCCAAATGCATCACATCATAAACAGAGACCTCTGCAAAAATAACAACAATGAAATAAAACTCCAGGCACTGTGGCATCACTAGGTCGGATATTCCAAGTTATATTTCAGAGTAGGATGTGCTTGGCCTCAGGATTATGTCAACATAACCAAGTGGGCCTAACTGTGTAGTGAGCACAAATAGATTTATGGTGAATTAAGGTTGTCTTGAGACCAGATGCAGGACTAGAAAATCGGTTTTGCTCTTGATGGAAACTGACGAGTGTGGAATAAAATGTAAATAAACATGAAGTCCCCAAGGAAAATAATGATGTTATTGATTATGTAAAATAATTAGGACATTACAAATGATAATGCTTTACAAATAATTGGCATTTATGGCTGGAAGTTTTTCTTTTCTTTTCTTTTTTTTTTTTTTCTGCAGAAAGAAGAAATGGTTTAGGCTCTATAATACCACCCGGAGAGTGGGGCATGAATGTGGCCATGTAAAATGAGTGATGGGGGGATTGGGATGATGAGCTTATAACCAGTGTCTGATGTCAATGATTGTTGAGTGAGCTTGCTTCGGATGAAGACACAGGACCTGAAGGAATATAAAGGGAGTGGTAGCCTTCTGTAATCACTGGTGGCATAAAGGCGCCCTGCACACTGTGGGTAGCTGTGCACAGAAGCCAAATATTGACTTAGTAGCTTAACAATTATTACAGGACAGACGGAGATGCTGGGTATATTTTTGGTAAGGAGATACCTTATAAATCTTTCTTAACAATGCTGGACAGGCAGGCATTCGGACCTGATTTCCTTTTGAATAAACACTTGGGACTGTACACATATTAACAGTATTTTGAGACACTCTCATGCCCTCCTTTCACTGTCTCTGTCAAACAAATAGACATGTAAACTGATGAATGCAACGTGCAAATTAAAAGACGTGGCTACTTCTTTTGGAGCAGAAATAATTAGGATTCTTATACCAATGTAACTCAGCTTAGCATTGTAGGAATGGAAAGAAGTTTATTATACTTATGGTCTAAGGAAAATTCACCAAGATTTTAATAAGAGACACAGAGGTTGGGTGGGTTGTATTCTTTGGTTATGGTCCAAACAATTTAATATAATTTATGATTGGATTTTTGTTTTCCAACTCATCTTCCAGATGTGGTCCTGTTGGTAAAATAGGCTGAACCATTCACCCTAAAGTTGGTGATTAAGCTGAGAGATGTCACTATAGTTTTGGTTTTTGAAACATGAATGCTTGTGAAATAAGAAAGAGTTTTAGAAATCATATAGTTCCTCAGTTGTGACATTTCTCACAAATTACATTTATCTTTTCCATTTCACTATAGCTCAGTGATTTCTCTGCCTGAGACAGGAATGTTTATGATGATAAATCAGTGTTCTTTAATTAGATTCATCTTTATTTCATTTTGATGTTCGTTGGAAATGTATTTGTTTAGTTTATAAAAATGAATAATTTAATCTTATTCTGGTATAAAATAAGTGGTGTGAGATGAAAAATCAATGCTAGATCTTGTCTGGAATTTTTCTGATTTATTCTACATTCCTTATTTAATATCTTACCTTCTTGCTTTGATAAATGGATTTTGTGCATTTCTTCCTATTTATAAGCACCTAATGCAAGATGTATTTGCTATTTATTACAAAGTAAATGAATTTGACCTTTTGCCCATTTCACCAGATGCTATTTCTGACCATCCCAAAAAGCTTGTTTAAAGTCAACAACATTAAGCATGTGAGGTCACAGGCCCAATTCAAGGTCATTTTAATGTGGGCAAAAGGTTAATTAGACCACTACATTAAAACAGGAATAGACTTTTATCTACATAAGCATAGACAAGCTTACCTTGCCCTTCAAAGTTTCCTTAAACGTTCTAACTCATTTCTTAGAATGGCAAAAATATCTTCTTGTGAATTTAATTTTTCAGTTTTTCTTTACCAATGTTAGTGGTATTTATCATTCACTGGAATCTTACTCAACACCAGGCACTATGAAACATGTTGTATACCATCTCATAAAATGTTTCAGTTTTAGGAAGGAAGTTTTATATTCCCACTCAACAGATGAGGTCGTTGAGGCTCAGACTGGGGATCAAGATTATCAGAGGCATTGATCTGCCTCTGTGAAGAACATTACACATCATTTGAAAAACACAAGACCCTTTTCCTCATAATTTGCAGTGGTTGCCTTTCTTATAGTGTGGCATAAGAAAGCTACATACCTTTGTAGCATAGAAAGCAGCATAGCTTCCATGGTATGAAATGTGAACAGCCATTTTTGTCCTAAGAAGAATGATTTTTTGAGCTTGTCTTACTCTAGACTTTAATAAAGTATTGAGTTTGCAGATAAATCAGCATTTAATTAAAACTATCCCATAGTATGTGAACACACAGAACTGAATGTAAGTTACTGGTAATTTAGCTACAGCCAAATTAGGGAGCTCTTCTGAGCAGAGAGAGAGAGAGAGAGAGAGAGAGAGAGAGAGAGAGAGAGAGAGAGAGAACAGAGCAGCTCCAGGTTGTGTGTCAGTACCCAGGAGAAAAAAAAATTTGCTGGACTATAGGGATCCCCTGTCTGGTCCTTGTATCAGTCCAGGAAGTTTGTATCTATAATCCTGTGGTTAAATTATTGGAATCCCATCAAGTTAATTCCAACTGACCTACTTTCCCTGTGTAGGTTGGACTGAATCTTTGAAGGGAAAAATATATTCTGCTCTAGTCTTTTCTCATCCAGATTATTTTTCTAGTTGGCCTTTAAAATGCCAACTCATGATGAGAATAAAGACACTAAAGCATATTTATAGTTATGGGGAGACAGGGGATCCTAAGTCCGGCCGTGATGATGGCTATCCAGAACAAAGGCCTTGAACCATGGCCGAACCGTGTTTTATTCAGTCATGAAGGAGGAGTGGCTTAAAGATGAATGACTGAGAATTGCAGGAAGTAGGTGAGTACTGTGAGCTGGGTTAGGTAGGAGGCCTGCATTTACTTCTGCAATATACAGAGAGAAGGTTATGCAGAAAAGTAATTTGCATTATACTATTGAGACAGTGTCAATATTTTGGGGTCCAGTGCTTCAGCTCTGATGTATAATCTTTCAAGCCCCAAGAAGTCATAGCCTCTATCTCGAGGCTCGATCCCAGCTGACAGTGTGGAGCACTGGCTCTTTGTCCTGTCTCAACCTGGCGCGTATTAAAGAGCAGCAGGTGTGGGTTATCAGGGAAACATGCGTACCATCTTCAAAGACTACCACCAGCACCTCAGCTAGACCAACATGCACTGCTTAAAGCCAATTGAAAGGATAAGGAAAAGTCCTGGCCAGCTCTGTACATATCAATACATGGAAACAAGGTCAGGCATAGCCAAAATGGAGACAGCTACTCTTCTTTCAGGGAGAGTTGCCCAGGTGGTCCTCCACACTGGACAATTTCATATGGCTCTGGGATAATACTACTTGTACTCTCAAAGGGACAGATTACTAAGGGACATGGTTGTTCCTTGGCAGAAACTTCCTTGCTACTGCACTGACAGCCCATTAATGATATTGTATTAGCTCATGTTTGTAAGGCAAAACCCCATAAGGCAGTTCATCACGCAGTGTTGGAATTGTCAGAAATTTTCAGGTAAGCATAAAAGTTATTTCTCCTAGAGACTGGGAGGATTTGTTTTTTAGACTTCTGCTGAGTTCATCTGGTGGTTGACCTACTTTCCCTGTGTAGGTTGGACTGAATCTTTTGAAGGGAAAAATATATTCTGCTCTAGTCTTTTCTCATCCAGATTACTTTTCTAGTTGGCCTTTAAAATACAACTTTCTGGGACACTGGCAGGCCATAGGTTCCAGGGACAATGTTGCTTACATTTTTCTACTTTCAAGGTGCTTGGTACTCACTAAATACAGTGGAAGAGTTTTCAGAGCAGTGAATCTGGATTCAGAAGGCAGCAGCTGTTCCCATTCCTGTCTTTCAGATAGCTTTGCCTTTCTTTGGGTGCCAATGAAGTGCGCACCTCTTGAGATGGAGCTCAAAAGGACATTTTAAAGATGAGAAGCAAGGTCAGCTGATGAGTGGAAAGAATGATGAGGCCTAGCATAATTTTTTTCCTTTTGAATGACAAACTGAGATAACGAATATATACCCTGCCATTCATATTCTGGAATTACCACAGATTCCAACATAGAGTTTAATTCTTCTCTACTGAATATGATAAAGCCTAAATTCTGCTTTGGGGAAACACTTCCCAGTCACTACTGAGAGTTAAAGATCTCTTTTAAATTTTTATTAGTCCATGTTTGCCTTACATAATGACTACATCCATTGTGAGGTGTTGGTCCACATGCCCAGCACATTTTAAGCCTTTTACCTCCTGTTCACCTCCCCCATCCTCTTCCCTTGGTTCTCTTCCTTCCTTTTTTTCTGTGGCTGGCTTAGCCTGCCCTGGGGGTGGGGCTGGCATGGCATGTGGTGCCAGGGGTTG